CAGGGAGATTATGTAGGTGGTATTCCATCGCTTCCGCTGCGGCCCAGGCGCTTCGATCTCTCTACTTAGTTTACAGCCGTCGATCTAAGGGAATTAGGAGTCGCATTCTGGCTGCAGTCATTGATCGACTGATGATAAGATAAATCATCGTTACACAGTGGCAAACGTTTTGATATCATTAGGCCAGTTTTGTCAGATCACAGCGTTCACCCGAGGGAAACACCACAACAGTTGCAATTTACTATACCACTAAACTCTATTTGGAATCCGCGCGCTACGGATTTATTCAAAACTCAAATTATTCTAGAAAAAGATGATGCTGAAAAGGCAGACTGACCTGCACAAGTAGTGAATTCCACATCTCTAGCTTTCGCCGAGGAGACAAATGAATCGGCCATGATCATAGGTGTGTACGCCAAATCAATACCATACTGCCGTAAGAGTAGACGAAAAGGAAGTCTAAAAAAACGAATAGAGGATTACCGTTTTTTGTGTGAAATAACTATGAAAAAGGGAGAGCTGATAGTAGGTGCCTCAAGTACAAAGTGTCAAGTCACATTAAACGAGGTGTAAGATGTTTGATAATAGGATCGTATCTCACGTGTTACATTCTGAAATATGATGATATCGGTTATATAGGAAGGAAAACGATTAGAGAGCACTAATTGGACGTTGCAACTCAATAAGTTGGTAGACAGGACAGACTACCTGGTGTGTGTACATGCGTCTCTGTAAGTTGAGCAGGCTAAAAAATGTCGAATAAAAAGTGTGGTAAGTGGCCTCAGAACTCACTTAGTAAAACGCACGCGGGTGGCAGCACACCGATAAGATTCGCATCTAAGTATTAACATCCCTCTGCATTTTTTAGGTGTTGGAGTTTTGCTTTTGCTATCATTCACACTTATTGAAATACCCCATCACGGACTACCTACCTGCGGCTAGTGATTACCTGCCATTTCATTCGATCAACCTTGCGTCTATTCTACTTTTACTTTTATTGAATACGTATGGTGCCAGTAATTTTCAGGAAGGAGGTGTTAAATCAAATGACTGTTACACATACATGGTAAATGGCGAAACTAGGGTTGCTATGTGAGATTTGAATACACGCCGTCCGGAGCGATAAGTTGATGACCTTAACCGCTTGACAATCGTCGTCTCGAGTTGTTGAGATCATGAGCTCAGGGCAAGCTCAGAGTACGTTGGCATTACTTATACGTGGTTTCGAATCCGAGTGAGGCTCATAATCCTTTCACAGGTGAATTGCATGAAACAACTAAGGATTTTAACACTCTAAAGTTAGAGGTGACTGCCTGTAGCTTAGATTAATCATGAAGAAATTATATAGGCAAGCAAACGAGCAAGATACCGAAATGGTTAACGCAAACACTGCTATTCAGATCGTCGTGTAAAACACTTTGACTGGTTCCAATGACGAGCAACTAAGCTGCTTAGGATGCAAGAAGAGATAACTGAAACAACAAGTGACCAGATTGCGATGTGAGAACAGCCATGGAGGAAACCCACTTGGTGTAACGAACCATCGGTGCTGAAATCCGGACAAATGGAATACCAGGTTTCTGGTAAGTGGACAGGATATCCATTGCAGACAAGAATCCTGAAACTGGAGGCAAAAGAAAAGAATGATGGGTGCAAAGGGAAATTAGTTTTCGACCGGAGCCAGTCTGCGGTGGGGAGGGTAGGATAACAGATGCGCTATTCAGATGGTAAATTCAGTAATGAGCGAAAGGAAATGAAAAAACTTCATGAATTCAAAAGAGGGAGACTAGGCCCAATACAGATCATTCACAGTGAAATAAAATTTTGGAAATACCGTACAGCTTGAGATATTGATAGCTTTCATCGAATTAAGAGAACCAGTAATGTGCTCATCAACTAGGAGCATGGCAATATTTGAACAATATATTCTCATGCGTTCCCGATACATCTTGTTCGACAATAGGCATCCACGGTTGTTGCGATATTCCATGGGGGCCGATCAGAAAGGTGTTCGATAGATCTCTTCAGTTCATAAAGTGAGATATGCCGACACATAGGCCGATTGCGCACACCCAAATCAGAGTGGTATTTATCATGTAGCGTCAATGGAGTACCAATCACATGAGAAGCATCGTACAGCGGTTTCATCGCTGAAAACAACAATCACTGTTTCAATTTTGGAAAGCTTAAGAAACTCATCATGCAGGTGTGTGAATCATGAGCAACAAGATTATAACATTTCTCAAAAGGCATGTCCGTAACTCACTACTTTAACGCGTGTCAATAGTCATTTTGGATAAAGTCTAGCTCCGTTGCGTACATGCACAGTTTTTGTATGAGCCTTGTTTTTCATCTGTGTATACTTGTCGCCAGCCAAACTTGCCATGAAGGAATTCAAACATTATATCATAGGGACACAATTAATACGTCAGTTGTCTGAGGAGCGCTAACCGAAGTTAACACTACAACAACCGTCATGTCTATCCCCCTTCCCCTTGGAAAAGCTCAGTAGTCATTTTATCCTCTATTTGGACTGATCGTTTGCATATAAAAAACCAATAATATCTCATACCGTCGAGTGTTCTAAATGGATTTCTCCACTTTATCAACTATCAAGCAAGAAAACACGCGACCCTTGTAGTGAATAGGTAATCAGGATTGGAAATCTCCCTCTGTAAGTTCAAAATGTTTCAAGCCAGGTTTCTAATCATAGTGACAGGGTTCTTTCAATAAAGACGCTCATATAGAGGCCGTTTGCCGTCGGTAAATAGCATGCCCCTTTGTCGTTAGACGAAGATTAGGCCAAAACATAAAATGAATGACTCCCTAGCCTTGTCAACAGTCATCATAAAAAATAGTCTAGTGTGTTCTGTCTATTTGATCTCAAGGAATAACCAGTGAACCTTATTTGTCCTCTTAGAAAGAAACTCTGAAAAGAGAAGAGTGGCACTTATCCCGCCTACTGCAAAGCTTTTTCCGACTGAATTTAACGAAGGGATTGACGAATTGCCTGGTGGCTAAAATCATTCAGTAGAGAATGCAATAAGAAATCAGCATAAATGATCAGGTAGATAGAACAGGTGCATACAGCATCGCTCATATGCGCAATTCTTTTCTCTATCCGAATGTATGAGCAATCGATCAGGTTTATCAAAGGAGCCCGAGGGAGCTATGCTGAATCTGAACAGCCTGGGATTGTATCACGAATTTACCGATGTAGCAGCGGTCTGAACCGTGTGCGGAACCAAATGGGAAAAACATAGATCACAGGAGAACATATGCTTTTCGTGGTTTCACTCGCTAGCCGTTACAAGCCCGCTCTTGGGGTAACAAAATAACGAGAGGGTAATGTGATGGGGTTAATAAATGATGGCAAAGGGGTTAGTGAGAGAAACTTTTCTCTTCCTCTCTCTGATTCTCACATTCGGACACCGGTAAAGTGACCATTGGGAATTGATTCGGACCATCAATCCGCCCATGCCGGATATGGTCCACTGTTGACCAGGTTACTTCGAGTGCTTCAACCATTGCGTGTCCTAAGTTCCGTAACCAGATGCGTATTATCGACATCACCAGTCATCTGATGTTAGAAATAGGATAAAATGCCCACTGCTGAACTCGTCAATGCTCGGCTACTAATTGAAGTGCCTCTGTGGTTTCCTTTCATTTAGGTCTTATGCTAAGACAAGTATCTGAACGCAGTCTTCGATAAGGCCATACATAAACAAAACACGAAGGAAACGAGATCAGTTCAAGTTCGATTGCTACAGGTTTGATCAGGAGTGGATATTTGGTGGACATTAATTCGGTCTTCAACATTATTTACCTGGTTTTTAACACGAATCAAGGGCAATTTAGTTTAAAAAGTTAAAAACAACCGCGGTTTTTCGGATAGCAAAGCTGAATGCCTCCGGGTAGCCGTTGAGGATGATTAGCGGCGTTTTTCAATAATGCGGTTGGTTCACGCTTGCTAACGAGTTCACTATATTCCGGCTATAGACAGTAAAGCGACGTGCGCAAATGCGGTCCACCATTAAATGGGAATTACTTCTTATCCATTCTGATTATATTAAGATCACCTTGAGCGCGTAGTGTATCCTGGATTGACAGAAAATAATACAAAAGGAGTACGAACAGTTCGGTCGGTCATTGGTTCCTAGCATACGAACTCCCGTTGCCCGGCAGGTGGCACTTGATTGTCAACAGGCTAATAGAGTCCACCTCAAACAAAACCTAGCTCAGCTGGAGAAACCAATTCGTGCTCAATTTCCAAGACTCTTCATGCAAAGCTTCTCTTTACGGCGCCCCCAGGAAGTTATGCTCATCAGGTTCCCCAACGCGCTGCACGATTATCAAATAGATATCACATGTATATCCGAAGTTCGTCTGCCAAACGCTCCCACAAAATATATACAGGTTCCTAAAGTGGAATACAACTGTAACCTCTAGCACATTAGTCTCCACTGCGTCGCGTTCGCTTCCGAGTTATTCAATCCGGAGCTGGGGGAGGAGGGATGATGCAATGATGGTTTAGGCACTTCAGTTACCCACTAAACCGTCTCGTGGCAAACTGCAAAGCCAGTACCGGAAAACCAGAGCGAACGCTACCAAATCAGCACCAAACATCCAATACATGTAGAAAACATTGCTTTAGTAGTAAATCACAAGACCCCAGACGAAGATGGTACTCCGAAGGAGAAATAAAAACCACACCTTTTGGCATCGCTAGAGCCCTTCTACACCGTTTTCACAATATGGGCAAACGAGCTATTTTCAGCGGACTAGGAGATTCATTTTAAAACCTTTCCCAAAATTTGATAAGACGGTGAGGCAATTAAAGAAAAATTGGCCTGATCAATTCAGCCGCAAAAATATTTTTCATGTTCTCTTTGATCTGATTCTGATCGACGAGAGACCGTACAAGTTCCAACATCTCACTGCCATCTGTTTCATCGATTTCAGAGCTGCTTTTGACTCGGTCGATAGAGATTCCGTACTATCCATTCTACGAAGAGACCACATGCCTGAAAAATTTGTCATTCTTGTGAGATCGGAATAAGCAAGGAAGGGAAACGTACATATGAAGAATCCATCGAGTTCTAGCTTAATCATGGCACTAAACAGAGTTGCGCATCATTCATACACTATCGATTAGATAGTGCACCATTGTTGAACACATCTATATATATTCCCTAATATCTGGAGCCACCGATGAGAATGATCCCACGGTAAACAGTCAGGAAACCTAACAGGATCAAGTTAAGCAGTAAGGACTTTCATAACTTTACACCGGGCAACGCCCTCCTTTCGACTACTACCCACCTCAACAAATATCACATGTAAAGGACCACTGGTGGTGCTTAGCGCATAGCCCAGCCACGGCATCTGTGAGGGTTAGATGCTTGCGAAGGTGCGTGACCGCTATTCCATATCTACCAACGGCTGTGATCATTCGGTTG